CAACAAACACTTTGATACTTTCATTGGATTTCAGTTTTTCTGGTTATTTTATCCCAACAAAAAAAAAATTAAACAACAAAACATCCAGAGCAGAAGAGGCCATGTTAGAAGAAGCTGTAGAAATGATGCAGTTAGAAAAAGCTGTAGAAATGATGCAGTTCGAAGCTGTAGAAATGATGCAGTTAGAAGCTGTAGAAATGATGCAGTTAGAAGCTGTAGAAATGATGCAGTTAGAAAAGCTGTAGAAATGATGCAGTTAGAAGGTGTGTAGAAATGATGCAGTTAGAAGCTGTAGAAATGATGCAGTTAGAAGAAGCTGTAGAAATGATGCAGTTAGAAGGTGTAGAAATGATGCAGTTAGAAGGTGTAGAAATGATGCAGTTAGAAGCTGTAGAAATGATGCAGTTAGAAGCTGTAGAAATGATGCAGTTAGAAAGCTGTAGAAATGATGCAGTTAGAAGAAGCTGTAGAAATGATGCAGTTAGAAGCTGTAGAAATGATGCAGTTAGAAGCTGTAGAAATGATGCAGTTAGAAGAAGCTGTAGAAATGATGCAGTTAGAAGGTGTAGAAATGATGCAGTTAGAAGAAGCTGTAGAAATGATGCAGTTAGAAGAAGCTGTAGAAATGATGTAGTTAGAAGTGTAGAAATGATGCAGTTAGAAGCTGTAGAAATGATGCAGTTAGAAGCTGTAGAAATGATGCAGTTAGAAGAAGCTGTAGAAATGATGCAGTTAGAAGGTGTAGAAATGATGCAGTTAGAAGCTGTAGAAATGATGCAGTTAGAAAAAGCTGTAGAAATGATGCAGTTAGAAGCTGTAGAAATGATGCAGTTAGAAAAAGCTGTAGAAATGATGCAGTTAGAAGCTGTAGAAATGATGCAGTTAGAAGCTGTAGAAATGATGCAGTTAGAAGAAGCTGTAGAAATGATGCAGTTAGAAGCTGTAGAAATGATGCAGTTAGAAGAAGCTGTAGAAATGATGCAGTTAGAAGAAGCTGTAGAAATGATGCAGTTAGAAGCTGTAGAAATGATGCAGTTAGAAGCTGTAGAAATGATGCAGTTAGAAGAAGCTGTAGAAATGATGCAGTTAGAAGGTGTAGAAATGATGCAGTTAGAAGCTGTAGAAATGATGCAGTTAGAAGAAGCTGTAGAAATGATGCAGTTAGAAGGTGTAGAAATGATGCAGTTAGAAGCTGTAGAAATGATGCAGTTAGAAGCTGTAGAAATGATGCAGTTAGAAGAAGCTGTAGAAATGATGCAGTTAGAAGGTGTAGAAATGATGCAGTTAGAAGCTGTAGAAATGATGCAGTTAGAAAAAGCTGTAGAAATGATGCAGTTAGAAGCTGTAGAAATGATGCAGTTAGAAGCTGTAGAAATGATGCAGTTAGAAGCTGTAGAAATGATGCAGTTAGAAGCTGTAGAAATGATGCAGTTAGAAGAAGCTGTAGAAATGATGCAGTTAGAAGCTGTAGAAATGATGCAGTTAGAAGCTGTAGAAATGATGCAGTTAGAAGAAGCTGTAGAAATGATGCAGTTAGAAGCTGTAGAAATGATGCAGTTAGAAAAAGCTGTAGAAATGATGCAGTTAGAAGAAGCTGTAGAAATGATGCAGTTAGAAGCTGTAGAAATGATGCAGTTAGAAGCTGTAGAAATGATGCAGTTAGAAGAAGCTGTAGAAATGATGCAGTTAGAAGGTGTAGAAATGATGCAGTTAGAAGAAGCTGTAGAAATGATGCAGTTAGAAGAAGCTGTAGAAATGATGTAGTTAGAAGGTGTAGAAATGATGCAGTTAGAAGCTGTAGAAATGATGCAGTTAGAAGAAGCTGTAGAAATGATGCAGTTAGAAGGTGTAGAAATGATGCAGTTAGAAGCTGTAGAAATGATGCAGTTAGAAGCTGTAGAAATGATGCAGTTAGAAGCTGTAGAAATGATGCAGTTAGAAGCTGTAGAAATGATGCAGTTAGAAGAAGCTGTAGAAATGATGCAGTTAGAAGGTGTAGAAATGATGCAGTTAGAAGCTGTAGAAATGATGCAGTTAGAAGAAGCTGTAGAAATGATGCAGTTAGAAGGTGTAGAAATGATGCAGTTAGAAGCTGTAGAAATGAAGCAGTTAGAAGCTGTAGAAATGATGCAGTTAGAAGCTGTAGAAATGATGCAGTTAGAAGCTGTAGAAATGATGCAGTTAGAAGAAGCTGTAGAAATGATGCAGTTAGAAGCTGTAGAAATGATGCAGTTAGAAAAAGCTGTAGAAATGATGCAGTTAGAAGCTGTAGAAATGATGCAGTTAGAAGCTGTAGAAATGATGCAGTTAGAAGAAGCTGTAGAAATGATGCAGTTAGAAGAAGCTGTAGAAATGATGCAGTTAGAAGCTGTAGAAATGATGCAGTTAGAAGAAGCTGTAGAAATGATGCAGTTAGAAGCTGTAGAAATGATGCAGTTAGAAGCTGTAGAAATGATGCAGTTAGAAGAAGCTGTAGAAATGATGCAGTTAGAAGCTGTAGAAATGATGCAGTTAGAAGGTGTAGAAATGATGCAGTTAGAAGCTGTAGAAATGATGCAGTTAGAAGAAGCTGTAGAAATGATGCAGTTAGAAAAAGCTGTAGAAATGATGCAGTTAGAAGCTGTAGAAATGATGCAGTTAGAAGTGTAGAAATGATGCAGTTAGAAGCTGTAGAAATGATGCAGTTAGAAGAAGCTGTAGAAATGATGCAGTTAGAAGCTGTAGAAATGATGCAGTTAGAAGCTGTAGAAATGATGCAGTTAGAAGAAGCTGTAGAAATGATGCAGTTAGAAGCTGTAGAAATGATGCAGTTAGAAGCTGTAGAAATGATGCAGTTAGAAGAAGCTGTAGAAATGATGCAGTTAGAAAAGCTGTAGAAATGATGCAGTTAGAAGCTGTAGAAATGATGCAGTTAGAAGCTGTAGAAATGATGCAGTTAGAAGAAGCTGTAGAAATGATGCAGTTAGAAGCTGTAGAAATGATGCAGTTAGAAAAGCTGTAGAAATGATGCAGTTAGAAGAAGCCGTAGAAATGATGCAGTTAGAAGCTGTAGAAATGATGCAGTTAGAAGCTGTAGAAATGATGCAGTTAGAAAAGCTGTAGAAATGATGCAGTTAGAAGAAGCTGTAGAAATGATGCAGTTAGAAGAAGCTGTAGAAATGATGCAGTTAGAAGCTGTAGAAATGATGCAGTTAGAAGCTGTAGAAATGATGCAGTTAGAAGCTGTAGAAATGATGCAGTTAGAAGAAGCTGTAGAAATGATGCAGTTAGAAGTGTAGAAATGATGCAGTTAGAAGCTGTAGAAATGATGCAGTTAGAAGCTGTAGAAATGATGCAGTTAGAAGAAGCTGTAGAAATGATGCAGTTAGAAGCTGTAGAAATGATGCAGTTAGAAGCTGTAGAAATGATGCAGTTAGAAGAAGCTGTAGAAATGATGCAGTTAGAAGCTGTAGAAATGATGCAGTTAGAAGCTGTAGAAATGATGCAGTTAGAAGAAGCTGTAGAAATGATGCAGTTAGAAAAAGCTGTAGAAATGATGCAGTTAGAAGCTGTAGAAATGATGCAGTTAGAAGAAGCTGTAGAAATGATGCAGTTAGAAGCTGTAGAAATGATGCAGTTAGAAGCTGTAGAAATGATGCAGTTAGAAGAAGCTGTAGAAATGATGCAGTTAGAAGCTGTAGAAATGATGCAGTTAGAAGAAGCTGTAGAAATGATGCAGTTAGAAGCTGTAGAAATGATGCAGTTAGAAGCTGTAGAAATGATGCAGTTAGAAGAAGCTGTAGAAATGATGCAGTTAGAAAAGCTGTAGAAATGATGCAGTTAGAAGGTGTAGAAATGATGCAGTTAGAAGCTGTAGAAATGATGCAGTTAGAAGAAGCTGTAGAAATGATGCAGTTAGAAGGTGTAGAAATGATGCAGTTAGAAGGTGTAGAAATGATGCAGTTAGAAGCTGTAGAAATGATGCAGTTAGAAGCTGTAGAAATGATGCAGTTAGAAAAAGCTGTAGAAATGATGCAGTTAGAAGAAGCTGTAGAAATGATGCAGTTAGAAGCTGTAGAAATGATGCAGTTAGAAGCTGTAGAAATGATGCAGTTAGAAGAAGCTGTAGAAATGATGCAGTTAGAAGCTGTAGAAATGATGCAGTTAGAAGAAGCTGTAGAAATGATGCAGTTAGAAGAAGCTGTAGAAATGATGCAGTTAGAAGGTGTAGAAATGATGCAGTTAGAAGCTGTAGAAATGATGCAGTTAGAAGCTGTAGAAATGATGCAGTTAGAAGAAGCTGTAGAAATGATGCAGTTAGAAGCTGTAGAAATGATGCAGTTAGAAGCTGTAGAAATGATGCAGTTAGAAGAAGCTGTAGAAATGATGCAGTTAGAAGCTGTAGAAATGATGCAGTTAGAAGCTGTAGAAATGATGCAGTTAGAAGAAGCTGTAGAAATGATGCAGTTAGAAGCTGTAGAAATGATGCAGTTAGAAGCTGTAGAAATGATGCAGTTAGAAGAAGCTGTAGAAATGATGCAGTTAGAAGAAGCTGTAGAAATGATGCAGTTAGAAGCTGTAGAAATGATGCAGTTAGAAGGTGTAGAAATGATGCAGTTAGAAGAAGCTGTAGAAATGATGCAGTTAGAAGCTGTAGAAATGATGCAGTTAGAAGCTGTAGAAATGATGCAGTTAGAAGAAGCTGTAGAAATGATGCAGTTAGAAGAAGCTGTAGAAATGATGCAGTTAGAAGCTGTAGAAATGATGCAGTTAGAAGCTGTAGAAATGATGCAGTTAGAAGAAGCTGTAGAAATGATGCAGTTAGAAAAAGCTGTAGAAATGATGCAGTTAGAAAGTGTAGAAATGATGCAGTTAGAAGGTGTAGAAATGATGCAGTTAGAAGCTGTAGAAATGATGCAGTTAGAAGGTGTAGAAATGATGCAGTTAGAAGCTGTAGAAATGATGCAGTTAGAAGGTGTAGAAATGATGCAGTGTTGACAGAGTTACAGCTTCAAACGTACCTGATGATGGATCCGATGTTTGGATAAAATCTTGCCACCAGGACTCCAGATCCAACGATTAAAATGTTCAAAGCCAGAACATGAAAGAAACTGCACCCAGACCCAAGAGAGAGAGGGAAAATCATCACCTGGGATCATACCAAACCTTTATTGTCAAAAGGGTTAGGTCATCCCTAAGCAACCTTCATCTTCTGCAGTGTAAGCTGCCTTGTTACCTTCACTTCTTTCAGTGTTACAGGCTGTGTTACAGGCTGTGTTACCTTATCTTTTGCAGTGTTACCTGGGGTAATGGTTTCCAAATATCTGGCCCATCATCTGGACCCGGACCAGGTAGCCCAGCAGGGGGTAAACCGTAATCATCTGGAACAGCAGGAAGCCCCGAGCCACAAACACCATCACATCATCACTGGGGAAGTTATCCAGGAAGTTCTGTTGGGGTCAACCACTAATCATATTTATTATATTCATTCTCTAAATACTGTTATACATATAATATTCTCAATTATGTAAAAAAACAAAAAAAACAAGGTAGTACTACTGGATCTGAGCCAGAACTCACATTGAAGATTCAGTTACAGTTCATCTTTAATGAATACATAGGAACTTTCATCTTACTGGTTCAATGCAGTCTTTGGAGAGAGGAGGAGAGGGGAAGGCAGCAAAGATCAACACTCCCACATACAGATACGTCACTCCTACCAGGAGGTATGCCACTGACAGGTCCCGCACCTGAACACAGCAACATCAAGCAACATCAAGCAACATCAAGCAACATCAAGCAACATCAAGCAACATCAAGCAACATCAAGCAACATCAAGCAACATCAAGCAACAACATCACGCAATTCAACACCAAACAATAACGTGAGGTGATCATGACGATGTTGCTAACCCTTAAATTCTTGTGTTGGAGGCTCCTTTGACAAAAAGGGAAGTTATTAAATATCAATACTTAAAATAGAAGAAAAACAGAAGAAAATCACAATGAGAAGAAAAAAATTGTGTCACAAGCCCCCGCCGTGTCAAAGAGAGGGTCATCTCCCTGCAAACCCAGGTTCCAAGAGAAAGGTCCTGCTGTTTTGTTTGCATATACACCCAACAGCAGTTCAGAGTACACAGCCTTCTTGGAGTCTCTGGGGGGGGGGGGGTCCTGGAAGGGGTTCTGCATGGGTACTCTAGAATTCTACTGGTGGACTTCAACGCTCACGTGGGCGATGATGGAGACACCTGGAGGGGGGTGACAGCGAGGACATCCAGCTCCATCTGAACCCAAGTGGTGCTTTGTTACCAGAACACTGATAGGCTGGTCACCTTTGGGTGTTCAGGGAGATGATTGTGGTGGATTTGAAAAATGAGGGGAAAGTCTGGTGGGGCGGAGAGACGTTGAAGACCCCTGTGAGTACGCACAGACCTTCAGGACCTGGCCAGGGAAGACTTGGGCTGTGCACACATGACGGGAAAGAGTATAGGAGTGATCTAGAATGTTTGAATGTCGGCCCTGTTAAAGTCCCCAATAACAACAAGTGGGGTCTCATGGTGTGAGGTCTTCAGTATGCTAATGAGCTTTGGAGCTCAGAAGGGGGGGATACAAACATGGCCATAGTAACAGATGTAGATAAAAGGGCTGAATGAGGTGTTCCAGGTTGGTGGAGTAAAAGGTTTCTACAGTTGGTCACACTAAACCTGGTTCAGACATCGTGTTCCCTGAGGGCTGCTGGTCTCAGCCTGAGGAGGGGGAAAACCCGGGTGCTCATCGTCCGTTACCTGCGTCTCTGTGAGGCAGAGCGGTTCTTGATGTCGAGCTGGAGATGGACAGCTTGTTGTGAAGAGAGTGCACAGTAACATGGGGAGCATGTTCAAACAGTTTGAGTTTACAGAGGGATGAAGAGTAGACTCACGTTGTTCTCTTGGTTCCTGTTGCTCTTCATCAGTGTGATGATGCAGTTGTGGATGAAGAAGGCCAGCGTGAGGACTCCTGTCAGCTGAGGGAAGAGAAGTCTGAGCTCTGAGAAGAAGAAGAAGAAATCACAGCACAAGAGAAAAGTGAAGATTGTACAAAGGTCCCAGAAAAGGTTTAGGGCCTTCACTGCATATTGTAATATATATATATATGTATATATATTCACAACCAATGAATGTGATTCTATTAATACCCTGTTCAGATTTGTGCAGAAGAAAGAAGAAAACAAGACAAAGAAAGCCTTAAAGCCCCTGGAAACCCAAATCCACATAAAGCTTCTTCTTCTGTTATTTCAGACCACCTCTTAAATGTTTGTTGAGATTTCATTTAAAATTCTGAAACTCTGGGGCGCGCTGGTGGTGCAGTGGTTAGGGTGCGCACCCCATGTGTTGAGACTCTCGTCTCGAGCGGTAGGCCCGGGTTCGCTTCCACCCGTGGCCTCCTTCCGCATGTCGTTCCCTGCTCCCTCTCTCTGGTTTCCAGGCACAAAAGTAAAAATAAATCTTTAAAAAAATAAATAAATTCTGAAACTCTTCTGACGTGCATTATTGAAGACTTTGAAATAATGGAGCAGTCTGAACATCCAGCTGGAATGAGGGACTTGTAAAAGTTAGTCAGTTTTCTTGATATAAACCAGATTCTCACAACAGGCTGTTGAGTTGTTGGGTCAGTATGTGACAGAGGCCAAAAAATAACTTCTTAACTCTAAACTGTGCAAAAAAGGTGTTTTTCCATGAGGCTAACGATTGCACAATAACCACCGACAAGAGGGAAATACAGAAAGGAAATGAGTTTCAATATCTAGCTGTGGTCTTGGATTCCCAATTGAAATTTGAAGCACATATCAGATAAATGTCCAAGACCATAAAGACTTATTTGAATAGCTTTTGACTCTTAAGATCTTGGTCACTGATTAAGGCTGTTATACATGCACACTATGAATTTATCACATTCTGTTGATTGTATAAGTGTCCGGGGTCAGGCCCAATCAGCAATGAAGCCTATGTTGTGATTATACAAACAGACCCTAAGAACACTGGATCCAAAGCCAATTAATGACACCATTATACAAAAAGTAGAATTTATTATGGTTTATCAAACTAATGTTTAAGTGTGTGAATGGTTTTGCCCCCTGGTCAGTCAAATGATTCAGAAATACTCCAGTACAAGAGGTGCATTTAGAGAAGATTGAGATTTACCCTCCAATACCCTCAGAAATAAAAACATGAACTCATTCCAAAGCTTAAGCTGCCCCTAACCCCTAACCCATGGAGCCGTTTGGTTTAACCCTAACTTATTCTATTAAACAGCCAAACATGATTTAGAGATAAAAACCAGGACGCACATTTGAATACACAACACAAAGCCAGAGGGCCTCCATAGTGTTATTAACACACCTGGAACATAGAACTGTGTGGGAAGGAACCAGTGGAACTCCAGGTGGAAGCCAAGGCGGACAGCTTTGATGGTGACCAGTGTGATCAGGTAGACCACTGAGATGGTACCTGGAAGACAGCAACAGTAGATTCTATGAGCACAACCTGAACAGAGTCTTCTCTGGGCTGACAGCTGGAGCAGACTCTTCTGTGTTTGTTGTGCTTTTGCTTTCGGTTTAATATGTCCTTAGAGAGTTGCCATAGCTGCCGTAAAACAGTTTTTTCTACAGAGTTATGTGACAGCGTAACAATGTTACGATGTTATGATGTCACAGTGTTGTGATGTCATAATGTTGTGATGTCACAGTGTTGTGATGTCACAGTGTTATGATGTCATAGTGTTGTGATGTCACAGTGTTGTGATGTCATAGTGTTGTGATGTCACAGTGTTGTGATGTCACAGTGTTGTGATGTCACAGTGTTATGATGTCACAGAGTTGTGATGTCATAGTGTTGTGATGTCACAGAGTTATGATGTCACAGTGTTGTGATGTCACAGTGTTGTGATGTCAGTGTTATGATGTCACAGTGTTATGATGTCACAGTGTTGTAATGTCACATTGTTGTGACGTCACAGTGTTGTGATGCCACAGTGTTGTGATGTCACAGTGTTGTGATGTCACAGTGTTGTGATGTCAGTGTTATGATGACACAGTGTTGTGATGTCAGTGTTATGATGTCACAGTGTTGTGATGTCACAGCGTTGTGATGTCAGTGTTATGACGTCACAGTGTTATGATGTCACAGTGTTGTGATGTCACAGTGTTGTGATGTCAGTGTTATGATGACACAGTGTTGTGATGTCACAGTGTTATGATGTCACAGTGTTGTGATGTCACAGTGTTGTGATGTCAGTGTTATGATGTCACAGTGTTGTGAAGTCACAGTGTTGTGATGTCAGTGTTATGATGACACAGTGTTATGACATCACAGTGTTGTGATGTCACAGTGTTGTGATGACACAGCGTTGTGATGTCACAGAGTTATTATGTCACAGTGTTGTGATGACACAGCGTTGTGATGTCATAGAGTTATTATGTCACAGTGTTATGATGTCACAGTGTTGTGATGACACAGTGTTGTGATGACACAGCGTTGTGATGTCACAGAGTTATTATGTCACAGTGTTGTGATGACAGTGTTGTGATGTCACAGTGTTATGATGCCACAGTGTTATGACGTCACAGTGTTGTGATGTCACAGTGTTGTGATGTCACAGTGTTGTGATGACACAGCGTTGTGATGACACAGCATTGTGATGACAGTGTTGTGATGTCACAGTGTTATGACGTCACAGTGTTGTGATGTCACAGTGTTGTGATGACACAGCGTTGTGATGACAGTGTTGTGATGTCACAGTGTTATGATGCCACAGTGTTATGACGTCACAGTGTTGTGATGTCACAGTGTTATGATGCCACAGTGTTATGACGTCACAGTGTTGTGATGTCACAGTGTTGTAATGTCACAGTGTTGTGATGTCACAGTGTTGTGATGACACAGCGTTGTGATGTCACAGTGTTGTGATGACAGTGTTGTGATGTCACAGTGTTGTGATGACACAGCGTTGTGATGCCACAGTGTTATGACGTCACAGTGTTGTGATGTCACAGTGTTGTGATGTCACAGTGTTATGATGCCACAGTGTTATGACGTCACAGTGTTGTGATGTCACAGAGTTATTATGTCACACAGCACGATGTAGAATTTGAAGACTTTTCTTACCTAGGAAGGTGAACCTGGCGAAGAAGGAGGCGGAGCGGAAACAGAGCAGCGGCAGCAGCAGGACGATCAGGTACAGAGGGATGGTGTTGGTTTTACTCCACCACTGTTCAAAAGAGTTCCCGTCAGTTTCATTCCCACTGATGAAGAAGGTGCTGAAGGTCAGGTTCCCCCCGGGGTCCGTGTTTGGATAGGGACAGATCACTGAGGACAAAACAAATAAACAACAACAAATAAACAAATCACAGTTTACAAACATAACTTATCAATAAGCGAGTCTTACCTCTGTCCGAGCCATTGGTCCCAAACTCTGAGTCTGAAACATTGACGTCATGAGCGTAATCTGTAAACATCAGAAACAAATGTCTTCACTTCTTTATATCTTTATTATCTATCACATTTATTATTATAGAACTTCTTTATATCTTTATTATCTATCACATTTATTATTATAGAACTTCTTTATATCTTTATTATCTATCACATTTATTATTATAGAACTTCTTTATATCTTTATTATCTATCACATTTATTATTATAGAACTTCTTTATATCTTATTCATGTGCTGTTCATTCTCACTTCTAATCAGTTTCCTGTCTAGATAATAAAGTCAGAACTCACTGTAGATGAACTGTCCCGTGTTGTAGAGGAAGTTGGACATGAGGACCCAGTAGACCACCATGGCTCCGATCAGAGACACCATGGAGAAGAGCAGACTGGACCACTGACCGAACTTTCCAAAATAATACCTGCAGACATCGGGGAACTCCCACTCCGATGTGTCCACATACGCTTCAGATAGAGCAGAGATATAAAAACATCTGAAGTGAATCTATGAGGACGAGTCTTATTACAAACATTCACACAGGATCCTTTACTGCAGCGCGGTGGTTTCCTGATTCTTTCATAATGTGTGTGAGCTCTGCGTCAGTAACATCGTTCTTTACACTTCAGTATGTTTACAGTCGATACAGCAGGGGGCAGTATGCACAGAGTTGCTTTAAAATACGCCATTACGCCATGAAGAAGTAACCATGGCAACCGCTGGCAGGTTGAGTCCGTCCTGCTAACTGATGTTATATCAGAAACGTCCACCTTCAGCTCAGACGAGGAAACGGGCCGTGCTGCGACGATACAACGGTTTTTGAAGTGACAGGAGATCCACTTCCTGTTTGAGCCCAAGACGCCACTTCAAGCGGACTCAGGAACAAGTCTGTGTTCACGCTGATCCAATGACCCGCCTCCGATGTGAAACCACTCTAACCCTCTCCATATCATAGATAGATTCTAAATGTGAGGTTATTAAAACAACATATTTTTTAATTTTATCTTCTGTGATTGTTTTTGTTGTAAGCGTGTTCATGAATGTGATTGGTTACGAGCTGGTAACTCCTCCCCCTCCATGTGAACCCGCTCACAGCGCTCTGTAACCTCAGTGTGAAGGAACTGTGTTGTTAATCACCTGAGACTGCAGTTACATATAGGAGCCACCAGAGGGCGGTGTCACTCACGTATGGCTCTGGGTGACCGGAGGACGATGTAGCAGCAGTAGAGCATGAGCAGACCGGTGAAGACGAGGAGGAGGACGCCAAGCGTGAAGCCGGCCTGAAGGAACAGAGAACACACGCTCACATTAAAATCAATCATGAAGCAGGGCTTTTATTTTGAAGGGCTGTGTGATGATCACCTGTTTGATTCCCCACGGGATGCTGAGGATCGACGTGCCCATCATCGTGTTCCAGATCGCAAATCTGAGAAAACAAAGAACATAGAATCATGATGACAGATCAGCTTACTGATGATAGAATCATAATGATAGATCAGTTTATTGATCATAGATTCATGATGATAGATCAGTTTATTGATGATAGAATCATAATGATAGATCAGTTTATTGATCATAGATTCATGATGATAGATCAGCTTATTGATGATAGATCCATGATGATAGATCAGTTTATGATGATAGAATCATGATGATAGATCAGTTTATTGATCATAGATTCATGATGATAGATCAGCTTATTGATGATAGATCCATGATGATAGATCAGTTTATGATGATAGAATCATGATGATAGATCAGTTTATTGATCATAGATTCATGATGATAGATCAGCTTATTGATGATAGATCCATGATGATAGATCAGTTTATGATGATAGAATCATGATGATAGATCAGTTTATTGATGATAGAATCATGATGATAGATCAGTTTTTTGATGATAGAATCATGATAGATCAGTTTATGATCATAGATTCATGATGATAGATCAGCTTATTGATGATAGATCCATGATGATAGATCAGCTTATTGATGACAGAATCATGATGATAGATCCATGATGATAGATCAGTTTATTGATCATAGAATCACGATGATAGAGTCATGATGATAGATTCATGATGATAGATCCATGATGATAGATCCATAATGATAGATCCATGATGATAGATTCATGTATTGGTACCAGGTCGTACATGGTGATGATGCTGGGGTTTTTGGACAAGCCATCGCTGCCCGTCACTTTGAACGCCGTTCCCAGCGGGCTGTAGACGTAGATCTCCTCGGGGGTGGGGATCACATGGTTTGGAGGACTCTAGGGGGGAAACAGAGGTAAACATGGAGAAGGCTTCACAGGGACAGTACAGTTAAGATGTTGATAACCTGGCTCAGGTAGCTGTACTGTGATTGGTCATACCAGCAACCTATCAGAGGAGCCCGTCAGTCGACTGTAATAATGAACTCTGCTGTTTAAGATGGCGGCTTCAGCAGAAACTCGTTCCTGAGGATCATCGTCTACGATGTTTCTGGGCTCCACGTGGAACGGCCTGAAGATGAAAAAACACAAGTTATTAACCAATCAGCAATGACCAATCAGCAATGACCAATCATTGTGACCGTGATTAGTTTTTTTTATCATCAAACGTTTCAGATTTATCTTTAAGTAAACAAACTAACAAATTATTAATACAAATTCTGTAGGCTTCTGTGTGTGTGTGTGTGTGTGTGAGCTCGTCAGTCACTGTGAAATACCAAACTGGATTAAAAGTCACACACACTGTTGATGGTAGGCGTTAAACACACAGGTTAGAGTTCTCTTGTGAATTCCAGGAAGTCAAAGCAGCTACACACACACACACACACACACACACACACACACACACACACACACACACAACCGTTTATTCTTCAGGTCCAGGGAGTCGGTGGATCCTCGGTGAGAGTCAGAGTTCAGCAGCGGTTGACAGTCGTCCTCCATCCTGAAACACCAGAAATAAATTCACTTTTTCATTTTCAACACACTGCGAGAAGACGTGGTCGCAGGTCGTGCACAGCGGAGCGAACACGTGCTCGTCACTTCCTGTTCACTGTGACGCTGTTCTCTGACGTGGAGCAGCAGTCACCAGAGACCACTGAACGCCACCTACCGTCCCCGGTGAACGCCATTCTTCATGAAAACACTTGTTAGTAAAGAATGTGTTTTTATGTGAATGGATGTTATTTTAAAAACAGTAAATGGGGGCGCAGTGGTTAGTGTGTGCGCCCCAGGTTCGAATCTCTCTCTCAGCAGGTAAACTTTACCTGAGACCATCGAGGTCACACACACACACACACACACACACACACACACACACACACACACATTACCTCATTTATAATAAATAATAAAGTGCTGAGTCATGAATCTGATGTGTTTATACGAGCAGTAATAAAGTGCTGAGTCATGAATCTGATGTGTTTATACGAGCAGTGATAAAGTGCTGAGTCATGAATCTGATGTGTTTATACGAGCAGTGATAAAGTGCTGAGTCATGAATCTGATGTGTTTATACGAGCAGTGATAAAGTGCTGAGTCATGAATCTGTTGTGTTTATGAGCAGTGATAAAGTGCTGAGTCATGAATCTGTTGTGTTTATGAGCAGTGATAAAGTGCTGAGTCATGAATCTGATGTGTTTCTATGAGCAGTGATAAAGTGCTGAGTCATGAATCTGATGTGTTTCTATGAGCAGTGATAAAGTGCTGAGTCATGAATCTGATGTGTTTCTATGAGCAGTGATAAAGTGCTGAGTCATGAATCTGATGTGTTTATGAGCAGTGATAAAGTGCTGAGTCATGAATCTGATGTGTTTCTATGAGCAGTGATAAAGTGCTGAGTCATGAATCTGATGTGTTTCTATGAGCAGTGATAAAGTGCTGAGTCATGAATCTGATGTGTTTATATGAGCAGTGATAAAGTGCTGAGGCATGAATCTGATGTGTTTCTATGAGCAGTGATAAAGTGCTGAGTCATGAATCTGATGTGTTTCTATGAGCAGTGATAAAGTGCTGAGTCATGAATCTGATGTGTTTATGAGCAGTAGTAAAACGCTGAGTCTGCAGCTCATCATGCTAACGTTAGCTGAAGCTAATCTTGACTTCTGCTTCCTCGTGACCTGATTTAACTAAACAACAGACTGAATCCTAAAGAGCAGACAACAGACTGAATGAATCCTAAAGAACAGACAACAGACTGAATGAATCCTAAAGAGCAGACAACAGACTGAATGAATCCTAAAGAGCAGACAACAGACTGAATGAATCCTAAAGAGCAGACAACAGACTGAATGAATCCTAAAGAACAGACAACAGACTGAATGAATCCTAAAGAGCAGACAACAGACTGAATGAATCCTAAAGAGCAGACAACAGACTGAATGAATCCTAAAGAGCAGACAACAGACTGAATGAATCCTAAAGAGCAGACAACAGACTGAATGAATCCTAAAGAGCAGACAACAGACTGAATGAATCCTAAAGAGCAGACAACAGACTGAATGAATCCTAAAGAGCAGACAACAGACTGAATGAATCCTAAAGAGCAGACAACAGACTGAATGAATCCTAAAGAGCAGACAACAGACTAACTGCTTCACAGTTACATCAAGTAAAGAAGTATTATGGGCTGTATTTCCGCTGTGGCGTTCAAAGGTCTCTTAGAAAGTTAGAAACTAAGTCACTCAGTATTTATCAAAGTAACCGAGCCGCTCGTGACGTCACAATGTGATTTTAGAGATTATAAAGACAAATGAAGCTCACCTCAGTCCTCAGTCCGTCTCTCTCTCTCTCTCTCTCTCCGTCTCTCTCTCTCTCTCTGTCTCTCTCTCTCTCTCTCTCCGTCTCTCTCTCTCTCTCTCTCTCTGTCTCTCTCTCTCTCCGTCTCTCTCTCTGTCTCTCTCTCTCTGTCTCTCTCTCTCTGCCTGTGTCTCTCTCTCTCTCTCTCTCTCTCTCTCTCCGTCTCTCTCTCTCTCTCCCCGTCTCTCTCTCTCTCTCTCTCCTCTCTCTCTCTCTCTCTGTCTCTCTCTCTCCGTCTCTCTCTCTGTCTCTCTCTCTCTGTCTCTCTCTCTGCCTGTGTCTCTCTCTCTCTCTCTCTCTGTTCTCTCTCTGTCTCTCTCTCTCTCT